TCTTTGCAAGCAATTGTATTGATAAAAACAATTCTAACGGATTCTATGGACAAGGAAACTTTGTTGTGAATTTGTCAGCTGAATTTGTTTAATCTTAAACAACAAAATATGACGCACGCAGGGCCAATATTACGTGTACATCAAAGATTATTGCCACAGAAATCATGACCGCGATAAAATGCCAACTTAAACAAAAAAATTTAAGAGTCAATTAAAGGTTACAATACACCATTAGATTTTATGGGCGCAACATGGTATTCAGAATTAAGAGTATAGCTAATCCTGATTGGTTGATATGTGCGCCCGTTATTTTTTGTTATTAGAGACTTCGTGCATTCTGCATTATACCAAAGGCCAAATAAATTATTTTCCTTAGCCCTAACGGAACTGAGATGTCTTTTAAACGCTAAGATGAGACACGTATTTTTAAGTGCAAAATTGATAGGCATGGGAGATAAGTACAAATTACGCTAAGAAAAGCAACGCGAACCTATATTTTTTGGACCAAAAAATACTGTCCTAATAACTTTTCTTTAATTCTAGCAAGGTTTCGTTAAAAAAATCAACTTTCTGAAGTCTGTATCTCGAAAAAGGCTATCATTGTCACCTATGGGGAAATTAATTGTTTATTTCAATCTAAAAAGAACTATAACATGTAACAAGAACAAATGAAAAGGTGACGGAGAGGGAAAGAAGAATGAAGAAAATGAATAAATTACTAACCCAACTACATAATAAAACACAGAGAAAAAAAGAAACAGTCACCAATATTAGAAGAAAGCCAAGCTTATAAGCGCAAAAACATCTCTTTGTAGCTTCGACTTCAATAAGTACCTGCTCATGGGAAATTAAAAGAATCCAATCTAAATCACCCCCTCTCCCCCGAGGTTGTCCATATTTGGAGATATAAAAGACATATTTTTTCAACTTTAGATAGTAAATGTTATTGATCGTCCAAAACACAGGTGCAAGGTATGGAAAAAAATGTAAATTTTTCAAAGACTTTCATATTTACATTCGATGCATGTATACTATGCACTTCTGCTTATTTGTTGATTCTATACAAAATGTTAATGTTGAAATAATTCAAATGAAATAAAAAGATGTTAAAGCATTCATTTTGTTTGTGTGTGTGTTAGTCCGGACACTGTCAGAAAATGACAAGTCTTTTTTATAAGCCATAAGTGTGGATGCGGATGACAGAACAGTAGCGCCTAATGTTTGTGTAACAACAAAAAATTCGAACGGATTTATGATTAATTGTGTATCCAATAGTTTCTGAAAGGAAGGAAATAACCGTTTATTACATTTTAAATTATTGTTTCTGTGTAGATCTCCGGTTTTTAAATGCAATTAGCAGGTCACTAGTCCAACACGCATAGGCTTTGTTCATTTACCATTTATTTATTGTTCACATTAAAACGTGGGAAAAGGAAACAACTTAGTTAAAATAAAATAAAAGTGAATAAAATTTACAGTTTTATTCAATGTTATCAAACGTAAAATATTTGTAAGCAAACTTTATTGGAAGCTTACATTGACTTTTCAATTCATAAACTGATTCAAATATTTTAGCACGATGGTCACGAGTTTCTTGACTGCCTGCATCGATTGAACGTTATGCAACCGAAAACATTCACACAATAGTTTGATCGCCACAGTCATACTGGATAAATTTGACAGAAACCATGATAGTTTTTGCCTGATTTGGACATCCAATACCTACCGCATAAAGGGATGTATTAAAACACCAACCTCCTATACTAGATGGGTTTATTAAGATAATCAAAGATACCAGGCTTGAAAGAAGAAAAACTTAAAGTGAAATTGAGAATGGAAATGGGGAATGTGTCAAAGAGACAACAACCTGACCATAGAGCCGAAAACAGCCCAATGCCACCAATGGGTCTTCAACATAGCGAGAAAATCCGGCACCCGGAAGCGGGCTTCAGCTGGCCCTAAACAAAAATGTGTACTAGTTCAGTGAAAATGGACGTCACACTAAACTCCGAAACCTATAAATCAACTAAAATTAAAAAAAAACATACAAGACTAACAAAGGCCAGAGGTTCCTGACTTGCGGCGGGGTTAAACATGTTTTGTAAGATCTCAACCCTGCCCTATACCTCCAGCCAATGTAGAATAAACAAACACAGAGCAATACGCACAGTAAAACTCAGTTAAAAAGAAGTCCGAGTCCGATGTCAGAATAGGTAACAGAAGTGGCAATATACGTACTAAACTAGAACTTTTACATGAAACGGGGATTGAAAAACTTTGGTTTAAAACTGTCAAGAGTGACGACAGAAGCAAATAGTTTACATGGACTAGCGTTTCTTAGCCGCCGTTGCATATATGTCACTAGTTGAAATCATTACATAAAAATGTTCTTAAACATTGACATTATTTTAAGTAGCCTACACGGAAAAGTAGTAAAGTAGTTAACACGAATCTGTCAGTTGCAAAATAAATTATACGTGTATATACAACTTATAAGACATGTAATTAGTAGTTCTTTACACAACACCGAAAATATGAAATACAAATAGCAGAGTAACGTGCAAAATGTTTCAGTAATGACTGTTGTCGAACGACAAAGTGGAGTATATGTATTCTTGAGCTTTTCAGTAACTAACCATTCAAATACCAGAAAAACTGAGAGCCAAATTCAAAAGATATATAAACAAAAAAGTTTATAGCTGACTATGTGGTATGGGTTTTACCCATTGTTGAAGGTGACCTATAGTTGTTAATTTCTGTGTCATTTGGTCTCTTGTGGATAATGGTCTCATTGTCAATCATACCACATCTTCTCATTTTTATATCAACTCCTATAGGGAGTCAAAAAGAATACCAAACATCATAAAGGAGATATTTACCCTAGGAATAAGCAACCTTAATTTTTTTTGGGGGTAGGGGGATAAAAAAAAACGCAAGGGATAAAAAAAATGACAGTTCAAAAGAAACTTAACGAAAAGCCAAAACATACTGTATTGAAGCTGAACATTTGAGCAGCATGTATTATCTTCACCAAAACTATGATTTGTTTCTTCTTTTCAATAAGACAAGATATTGTTCAGTATATAGACCACTTATATCAATCTTCAAGTAAATAGAAGTTATAACATTGAGATTTAAATTCTTCTTAATCTGTTTACTAAGAAATACTAATGCCAGACCCCGTCCCCAACTAAAAATCAAAAATACACTCCTTAACAAAAATATAAGAAGAGTTGCTCAATGAATATATGCGCTGAATGATTTATGACAGTTTCAGAGAGTTTGTACAAAATAAGAAAATAAAGTACAATTGTCATTCACCTGTAGGATTGTACTGAAAATAGATTTACTTAATAAGTATTTGTGAAAGTTTATATCTTGAGATTTATACCATGTTTTATTTGCAAACGTCGGTGTAGTTATCGCCTTTTGTTTACACATTTGGGTAAAATTTACAGGTACCATTTAGATATAAATGAAAAACAGAATTCAAATCGATATTAAATACATGACAAATTAACTAATAAATCCTTGATGTCTTCACGATCAAAGCAATATGCAAATTAGAACTTGACTATTTACACATATTGCAACGCATATTTTAGAAATTGTCGTTAAAGTATTAACAATCCTGTTTTGCTATCCTATTTTGTGACTTGTAATAAAATATAGCAAAACACAGGATTAAAGCTCCAATAACACGAAAGGGTGCAACAATTAAATATTGTAGGAACTAATAAGCGCTTCGACAAAACACAGATGTGTCCCGAAAAGAAAACATTCACTCCACCACTCGGTGAACCTTTCTTCAACAAAATGTTGTTGTTTTTTAAATGACATAAGTGGTATAATCAATGAGACAGCAACCCATACATAATAAATATCAAAGGAAAAACTAGGTTTCCATAACAACAGCTCTTAAGAGAAGTATATAGGTGACCTTTTGTGATGCTGAACTCCTGATCAACTACACAAATAACCAAAAGACATCTTTAGGTCATTATAGGTCATTATTCTATCTACAATACATACAGGTGTCAATATATATGTAATATGTCAAGCTCCTAATTGAGTCTTAACAAGTCACAACAAAGAAAGCAGAGACTATCGAAGATCTGCCATTAAGAACAAGATTTCAAATATCAACAAAACATTAATATATATTTGACAAAAAAAATAAACAAATGCTAGTGAAGTTCTTGTGTTACATGTATGACAGTCATCGTAGTCTCGTAAAAACTAGGGTTTTTTTAATTGCAATCCTTCCTCTTTAGACAAATGTGTGTTGATCTGTATATTTCACTGAGATTTAGAATTGCTATTTAACAGTTCCATTGATGTAGATACCATGATGCACTTCACTTTTCAAGATTTTCAAAACGCGCATTTGGCATACCAAATTATAATTCCTCCCCCACACCTGCAAATTACTATGCTGTACTACTTTTTTACCTTTAACTTGTATAAAAAGTACAAACACATTTAGGACTGAACTTTCATACTTAATAATAAAATTGAAGCCAGTTAAACCAGCCAGCCCCTAACTATTTGAATTAAGTTTTTATCCTACATCAAACTTGCAGCCAGTTAAACCAGCCAGCCCCTAACTATTTGAATTAAGATTTTATCCTACATCAAACTTGCAGCCAGTTAAACCAGCCAGCCCCTAACTATTTGAATTAAGATTTTATCCTACATCAAACTTGCAGCCAGTTAAACCAGCCAGCCCCTAACTATTTGAATTAAGATTTTATCCTACATCAAACTTGCAGCCAGTTAAACCAGCCAGCCCCTAACTATTTGAATTAAGTTTTTATCCTACATCAGTCAAACTTTTGATGTTGTGAACTTGTCCCTTATTGTTTTTAGAAACATTGACAAACTCTTTCCTTTGATATTAAAACATTCAATAAGAAAGAAAGAAAGAAAGAAAGAAAGAAAGAAAGAAAGAAAGAAAAATAGAAAGAAAGAACAGAATTTGTTAATAAGATGATAAATACCTCTTAAGTCGTTTATGATTGAATACTTCTTTTTCTCGATCTTCATCTGTTTCAATTGTTCTCTCAGTTGTTTTTCTTCCCTGTTAAAACTGGCTGCTGCAATCCTTTTCTCAGTCTCAATACCAAGTGTTCGTTTCTGTAGCGAGCTCCTCCTTGCATAATTCTTTACTTTTGCTTCTTTATAACTTTTAGAACTCTCCTTCAAATATCGTTCGACATCGTTATCTTGCATTTTTGTAATCGGAATAGATTGAAGATCAATTAACTAGTTTAACTTTATGTATGAAAAATCCGTCTACAATTAATTTTGCGTGATGCTTTAAGTTACTTTCTTATAATAAATAATATTTCCAATACCAAGTCAATTAATACTGAAAATTGTTATGAACTCCGGGTATTTAAATAAGTTATCTGTTATTTCGATGTAAACTTTAAATTTACGTACTAACTTAAGAATTACCCGGTATAATATTGACAAAGGCGAATACTTTCAATATTAACCTTGGATAAATTATTGGTACATGGTCATAGAACAAAAGGTTCTTTGTGGTTCGTGGTTTCATCTTACTTCTTTAAGTACCTTGTTTGCCTCCTGTTCAAACAGTCTTGTGGAACCGTTGAGTGTTTTAATAATTAGACAATTCTTTGTTAATATGAATTACGTATAAAAAACGTTTTCACTTCAATAGTTTTGTTTTTATTTTTTTTAAATTATGACAAAATATTGTGGTTGTATATTCCTAACGTGACGTCATGTTCAGACTCTTTGAAGACATGATTCACTTACACATTTCAAAATGAACGCAGTAATCAGAGTTCAATTATTCTACTCAATTCAAAATTGATAAATTTGGTTTTTGCAGTTTCTAATGACATGTATATATAAAGGATTGTTCAAAATTACAAAAAAGTACATAAAATCTACTTTCCATCATAATCTAAAAGTCCAGTCTCCTAGTAACCTCTTCAATAATTATCTGTACTATCCGAATAAAGAGCTGCGCCATGAGCGCATGATACGCCCGTCGCTTTTTCAAAGAATAAAGTTCCATAACTCCTCAATGTCATATCAGAAATTTATAAAATATAAAGGGAGGTTATTTTAATAGATATAAACCAGTCACGAAAGTTTCATGAAAACTGCTCAAAGAACTTTTGAGTTACATGTATTGTCCGAAAACTGGAAAATCCCCCCCTTTTTAATGAATAAAAATCGAAAGGGAGCTCACGTCAATAGATGTAAACAATTCACCAAGGTTTCATGAAAACTACTCAAAGCATTTTTGAGTTATTGTCCGAAAACTTGAAAAAACCCTTTTTTAATGAATAAAACCCTATAACTTGGGACCGTAAAATCTAAAATTTATAAAAATCAAAAGGCAGCTCACGTCAACAGATATAAATAATTCACTAAAGTTTCATGCAAATTGGTTAACGCGTTTTTGAGTTATTGTCCGACATGTTGACGACGGACGGACAGACGGACAGACCGACAGACGGACAACGGTATACCATAATAAGTCACGTAAACGGGCGTATTAAAACATATCGGAGGCGCTAGACGTATAAATGAGTCTAGAATCTGATCGATATAGACCGTTGGTATGACAGCACTCGTCAGTCTAAGGCGGATTCGAGATGCGCGGAGTGCGTATCCCCTCCCTTTCATTTTTCGGCCATTAAGAAAAAGGGGACAGGGCAAAAGGATTTTGAAAAAGGATATCCTGGTCTGGGTACGGTTGAAAATAAATTATCTCAATTGCCCAAGACTGGATGAAAAGGAATATTCTACAATACCAAATGCAGGAAATGATTGTGTGAAAATAAATAAGCATGCGTAGCGACTGATCAAAATAAATATCCAATCCACAAAAACTCCTCCTGTTCCCCCCCCCCCCCCCCCCCTTAAAAAAATCAAATGGTCGTCCCCTAATAGGGTGGACAAATTTCTACATTATGAATCTTGTTGTGAAATAACTACTCCCTGTTTTGCAGTGATAGTGTTTTCCTTCGTTGAATCCTGGTTTTCAAAACGTAATCTCACTTTTTACAAGTTTAATATTTTTTTTCATTAATACATGCATTTTTGGTAACAGCATAAACATGATAGACGTATACACACTAAGTTTTCTTTACTAAATTTCTTGAATTTTATCCCATCTCGTGACACGTGCTATGCCAGGAACGTGCCGTGTACATGTACAATTTAAAGGATGATTTGTCTTTTTAAACATTTATTACTGTAACAGAATAGTTCCATATTCATAAGAAAAAATAATTTATAGGTTGGTCTAGTGTCGGTTATAGGATAGACTTTTATTTCATGTACGCCGATTAAATAAAGTTTGTAGAAAAAAAAGTTACATGGATAAATAAAGAAACTGTAGTACATTTTGTAATTTCAAGGCAATCAGAAATTAGTAAAACAATCATATCAAATTGTGTACCCTAATATTGTATACTGTATAAATAACGCAAAAATCTACATTTCATAAATTTTCATATTTCAAAAACGGATATAAAACTTATTTTTTATTGATTTAAAGACTCGTAAACCCTACAAACTTTCATGTCAACACTTTCAACGGCACTTTTCCATAAAAAAATAAAAGTTTTGGCATATGTGCACCGAAAAATCGACATGTTTTAAAGATTATCCATATATCATAAAATCATGTGTTGCTTTCTTTACATTTTACAAAATTTTACAGAATTTTGTGTGAACCCTTTCGATAACAGAATTGCATTTTATATTATCCAAATTTCATATCCGTGTATAGGTTTGACGATTTTCTAAATAAGTTCGAGTTGATATTCTATGTACAAATTATGCTTTCGACCTTTGCGTAGGCATGAACTAGAAGTGTGAAATAACGTCTATTATATAAAACTCAGATATTAACTTGTAATTTATTTTCACAACCTCACTGGTAAAACATAAAAGAAGCGATAATAAAAATTACAATAACTTACATTGATGCCTATTCATAAAATTTTTTGAAATTAAAACGTTCAACCGATTGAATTCCTTATACAGACAACACACATTCTTCAAAAAGGAAAATTTGCAAGCGATCATAACTTGTATGGCCGAAAGTCACATTCCACTTAGAAATCTTGAATATTCACAAGAAAACTTTGCAAACCCCGAAACCAATGTCTGATATAAATGGTTATAAGTGCGGCTATTTCGCGTATTAGTCATTGAAATTTGATTTAACGGAAAAGGAAAAGGTGTAAAGAAAACTGGAAAAGCGTCTTGTAATTTCGCGTCTTCACGAGTATACATTTTCGCGCTTTTGCTCTTGTGAAATATCAAAGCGCTCTCTTCCGACTGTCATAAATCATGAGTATAAATACTATACATTTACAAGTACGTCGACAATTATGTCTAGGCACCAGTCTGATATGATTTATCAAATAAATGAATAAATAGAGATCCTTAAATAAAACTGGATATTTAACAAACCCCTCAAAGCTTTTTTTGAAAAATAATACAATGCTCCCCCTTTACGATTATTAAACAATTCTTCAATCCCCCTTTATTTCATTGTATGGCCCGGTTCTTTTACACATTATTAGTCTGTTAAGAGTTGTTAGTTTTCAAATATACAGTTAGGACGAGGTGCTTGTAACTTTGTTTTGATATGATAGAAAAACTCTTGAAAATGTTTGAAGATGAACTTTTATTTAATTAAAGAAAACCTTTTATTTGATTAAAAGAAATAAATTGACGTCACATATAAATTGAGATCATATAAACCTTCACACTGCAAACAAAACGAGCGGCGATTGGTGAATTGATTGGAAGCAAAATAAAAGTAAATATTATTGCATAACCGTCTATTTCCCAATTACGGCAAGGTTACAATTGTTAATTAGATATTAACAATTAGGATGGAATAAGTTTTACGTGCAAATGTTAAAATGTCAACAATTTTGTTTTTCTTATTCTATGAAATTGTTGCAAAACATGCGTCACAGCCAGAAAAATACGAATACCATTAAAGAGTTTCAAATAACTGAGGGAGCATGAAGGTTGTAAACGGATACGAAAACATAAGAATTTTCAGAAAACGAAAATAAATTTCATGAAAATAGGCAGCTACTATAGGTACTGGTTAAAATGAAACCGATTACGTTTCTCGTTTTTTATATAGATTAGAACGTTGGTTTTCCTGTTTGAATTGTTTTAAACTAGTCTTTTTGGTGCCCTTTATAGCTTGCTGTTCGGTGTGAGCCAAGGCTCCGTGTTGAAGGCCGTACTTTGACCTATAATTGTTGACTTTTTACACATTATGACTTGGATGGATAGTAGTCTCATTGGCACTCATACCACATCTTCTAATTTATATAAGCATAATCTTATTCAATGTCCATAATATCAGATTATTGTTACAGGGCAAACGTTGTCGTTAAATGAAATTTGTTATTTAAAATTGAAAATATATTGGAATACAAATGTATATCATGCTGTATCAATTCTTGACACTAAATCACTACGCGCAACGAGAGAAAAAAGCAAGTGCAAAGAAACTGAACTTCTACTGCTGTTCTTCACCTAAAAGACACGGTGAGGCCTTCAACTACAACAAACACTCTCACTCACTGCAAGTTCAAGACAGCCCATAGCACCGGTGTTAACGGAAACCATTGGCTAGAAATCAATGCATCCTACATCTGTGCTTTGAAGAAAGCTTCAGGGTAATATCAACAAGTTATCAATTTATATATGTGGCAAAAAAATCTACAAATGCTGTCACAAATAGCCCGACAATCTCTCTGTAAAATAACTTTTTTATGACAAACTTTACATTGAAGGATATCAAGAATTATTATGAATTAAGTTTGTGTTAATTAATTTGTATTTGAAAGGGCAATACATAGTTTCACTTTCAATACAGTTATGGTTTTCTTTTTTACTTGCATTTTTGCTTGTTGTTCGTATTAGGTTATCCCGTTCCAAACTTGCTTTAGCAATATGGCGAAAATATCCGAAACAAGAACAATTTTAGATTTGATCTTTTGAAAGTGTCAATTGTCAGTTTCAAAGCTCTGAATCGTTGTCCGATTTTGGCTATACTTATGTTCTTTTGGTTGATCAGCTCTTCAACGTTTGTATTAGGTTTTGGATTTTCACACTGAAGAGACATTAATTGTCGAAATACGTATCTGGTGCAGTAAAATAGGTACCGTTTATATTATTAATTAAATGTTCAGAAACATGACAATCATTTATCAGAAACTAAAATAACACAAATAAAGCTGTGACTTTTTTAGTATTCATAATATCTATTAGTGGAAATTTACATCATATTTTAATATGTACGTGTCTAAGATTTTTCGAATAATTCTTG